ATGCATCGTTATTTTGACTGGAATTAATATCAGTGATTTTTAGCAATGCAATTATGTATTTGATGATTCTCATTTTACTTCAATGGTTCAGAAACAATTTTTCAACCTCCAACTTGCACTTTTATTTTTACTTCATATAAAACATATTAACACCGAATATCATTCTATAATAACTCAATTTTACACATACATACTTACAGACACAGATGATTCGTTTCATTTATTTTCACATGATTCACATTTGACTGACTGATGTTATCCTACTTACTAAAATCAACATCCAAATATGATTGGATTAACATAGTATAGATTTGATTTGATTGTTAAAACGCTATATATTTCTTTGATGATCTTGATTATTACCCTGAAGAAGTCTAGACAAGCTAGCTAGACGAAACGTTGAAATTATTTAAATTCCAATCGCCGAGGTTATTTCAAATATAATTTTCACAGATAAGGACTTCTCTATACCCGGTGCCCAATTTCTATCAAGCTATTCGTTCTAATCTTGACGAATATTCGTATAAACTAAATACATACAGCCATAAGGACTGGGGTAGGTTTAGTGGAAAATATTTGGGGGCAATTTCAAAGATAGGCGAATTCAAATGGCATAAGAATAATATAATATTACGTATGTGTAAGCTAGGTTAACATGTACGTTAATGTGGATTATAGCAGAAAATTTTAAAACAAAATTTAAAATTTGAGACATGACTTATGGAACTATTGTTAGAAACATGACAGGGATAATTTAAAGTTTTCATAAAAGGTTGCTCTAGTTAGCTTAGTAAACTTCGTAAATATGTAGCAACGATGATGTTGAACCTAATATGGTTCTACTGAAAACAACACTTTCCTATGGTAATATACTGTCTTGAGAAACAATTAAATATATGTCAAAAACGGGCTTTAGAGTGATTTTTATGTGAAACAGTATATATGGCTAACCCAAGTGAAAATATATACATGTCACAAGTATCATAAACATGGTAGATCATCCAGTGAAATAGTGAAACTCGACTGAATTACCTGCAGAATCCAGATTATAAGATAGATTTGATTTATAAAAAGCCTAATGTGGCATAAGAACCAGATCAAACACAGAGTATTCCTACTAATTTTTGGTTGTGCATGATGCTGTTGACTTTGTCACTCGGTTGATTCAGTACAAATTTAAGAAAGAGTTCAGATAAATACACAGTAAACAGAATGAACACTCTGAAATAAGCTTAAAATCGTAGAAACTTTATATCTTGAATTCACTGTAAATTTCCAGAGTTTGTGTTTTCTGTTTGAACATGGAATTTGAGAATTAGAAATTAGACTGGCAGTGGTCAAAAGGAAAAATATCTAAGGGATAGTTCATAGATTGAAACTAAGTAAAACTTTTAGTGAAAAGAGAAGACCAAGAAATAGATCCAGTTAACTATTCATTCCTTGTTTACAATAATTGCCAACCTATGTGTATTTACGTTGATTAAGCTATAGGTTGTTTTAACAAATTTATTTCACAAAAGCATGTAAGTAAAGCTTCTTAATGAACCATGATAGTTAACCATAACAACAGTTATTATTAACGATCGAGCTAGTAAGCTGCTTATGAATACTAATCAATATCACAGTACGACAATGTATGTAGGCATTAATTAACAGACTAATAGAATAATTGGTTAATATAGGTAAGAATCAGTTCATCAAGTTAGTGAATCTGAAAATTCATAACAGATCTGGTTTCTTTAGTCGGGCTAACTTAAGTGGAATTGTGGTCTGGGTTGGTATTACTACACTTATCTATGCTATTAGAATAATAAATCTCAATTCCATATGGCTATTATTTGACCTGATCGGTTACACAACATTCATGAACGAAAACATCTATCGAGCCAATGATCTATAACTTTGAATAGTAAAATAGTTCTCCATTGTTTTCCGACACAGCAAAGTTGGTAAGAAAATACTTGTGCTTAAAAAGAGATAACAGGATTCATGAAATTAATAATTAGTTTCGACCTGAGTTTGGAACTTTACTGTTCTGAGGTAAGCCCCCGCATTCATATTACCAAATTCATAGACCTGCGAATGACCACCGAACTAACTAGAATTATTAAAGTCGAGTGGCTACAATATGCCTCATCGGTAACCAACTAAAACTTGGAAATTAGAAATAGAAAAACACGAGCAGAGAAACCCTCCGGTTTACATTTACTCCTCACAAAGGTCTTGTATATTGAAAACTCCATAATGAGAAAGACGTGAGATTGTTACCAGAGTAACACTGTTTTGATTGCTGAGTGCATGTAATAAATTCATTCGGTTTGGTAAAACTGACGCATTCATATAGTAGTGAGTCAATTAATTCATTCGACATGCATGTACCTACAATAATCTTATCAGGCGAAATCCTAATTGGATGTCTTTGTAGATGCATCAAAGTGATTCGCCTCCACTTTTAAGTAAATTTACCATTCGCTATATTGTATGATAGTTTTATCCCTCTGGATTCCTATGAATCCAAGGTAACAGCGTTGAACGAGGTAAAAAAAGAACTTATTTGAATTAGATATCACTTTTTTAGCCAATGGAACCACAATTTGAAGCATGCTAGGAAATAAAGGTTCAGTGACAGAAAAAACGTTAATCACAACACTAACGTGACAACAAATAATAAAAAACAAACAACTTCCAACACAGTGAATCGCCTCTTCGGGTTGATCAGAACTTGAAAATCTACAGCACTACATCACTATCATTATACCTTGGTGGAAAAGCAACAAGAATTAAGCCTAATCCATATTAAGCGAGATTGGTAATATAAATTCAGTACAAAAAAGGATGTACGGATAAATTCATACATTAAATGGAACTATAAAACAAAACGTAATAGAATTCAGAATAAAATAGCATACACTTGGCTTACAGAGATAGCGCATATCTGTAAGATGCTTCAAAGTATTGATAATATGCAACGTAATGTGAACTATATAATTCCAGAGCTAACTAGAACATACTCTTATAGTCACGAATAGACTAAAAGCAAAGGCAGACAACGCAACTAATGTGCCAAATATATTATATTAAAGTTGAGACTTCTCAGTTAAGTATGTATTAAATAATCACCTTTTTACAAACACTACGATCCCGCCGCTAGTACACAACCTCGATCACTAGACGGGCTTTCTGGCCTTGACAATTAAGCAGACCAAATTCAAATTTACCACAATAATAAACATCATCTTTTAAAAAGGCCTAATATGCATATTTGGCAGAATTAGGATTTAGTCAAATAGTACATGCTACTCGCAGAAGTACTTCATCAAGACCGAAACTTACAGACAACCTGTCACTATTAGTTTGAACAATCGTCAAAACAAGGTAGAAAGACATTTAACAATTAGATGTAAACGCCATAGATGCTAACAATAAATGATCAGTCCTTAGCACGTATCAGTGGGAGTTAAACCATGGTTTCCGTAATAAGTAAATGTCATGCTAAAGCAAGACATATACTAAACCATGTAAAACCAAAATATCCAGCATCGGACGTAGTAGTATTATTGATTAGGAAAACATCTTCAAGTCCAAAAAGATGCCAGATTGATGAGAAAACACCAACATATAAGCTCAGGAATGAAATGATTGTGATCAAAGAAGTACGAGATATAGTGACGTTTACCTGTAATATTTGTTAGGGTTAGTATTGAGTTCGGATTAAGTTTAAGAGAAAAGTTCGGTTTGGAGTTATGTCTAGAATTAGAACTGATGGTTACGAGTTATCGTATGTAAACTAACCATAGATTTTAATGGTTAAGAACGTATAGCTAACCCATAAGAGTTTATTAATGATGTAAAAAGAATGGATATTGCATCTGTGAATTTGTATCATAATTTACTCATACAGTTTGCTCTCCGACAGACTAAAAACAGGTCAAAATCCAAGGACCATTGGGCAGTATTGTTTAGTGTTGGTGTAGATTTTTAACTCTATGTTTGTCACTGCCAACCAATTCCGGCTGGAGAACAAAGTAACACAAGACAGTTTTTAAGTCTTAATCTGTAAGTTTTCAACACCGCATTCAACATAAAATACCATAACAAACAAATTGATCGATGGCGCCCAAAAATAGCTATGAACCGAAACGAAAGTGTAAGAAATATATGTCAGAATATTTGATTTAATGAATGATCATCTTGTTAGCGTGAAACTTGTGACATTCCAAATAGAAAAAACCTCAACCACAAACACTGAAATCAATTTTTAAAAAATGGAAGTCAGCGAACAGAATACAATCACGAATCAACATGAACTAAAGATGGACAATAATAGAGAGAAATAAGTATTGAATCAATTAATAAGCAGAATATTTTGTGTAAATATACACTGATATTTTGATGCACAAAATACTGAATAAACAAAAACGAAAGAGGGGAAAATTCCAAAAGATATGATAATCATAATAAATATGTATATACATAGTTCACGAATCAACGATTACATCACGTTTTCAGCAATTATGGAAGAACTGAAATACATCAACACATATAACTGAACAATATAAATTATTATGATAATTTTATTGATATTAACACAGTCAACAACTTAAGTAGTCAACGTGCTAAATTTCGAACAAAATTCAGTACAACAAAAAATTATCTTATTGAAATCAAGTAGCGCAAATGTTTACCAAAATAAATTAGTAATATAACACAATGCTACCGATTTAATGAATCACAAAAAAAAAGAAAAATACTTGACTGGAAATTACGATTTCAAAGATAATCAAACTTATTGATAAACAGATGTTCGATTATGTGATAAACGTTGAAGTCAAACAAAGAAAATAAAAAAAAAGATCAACTTGGCATTCTGGAACGAATACAAAGTGATACAAGTAAGAGAGAAATTATGAATGGTTCCAATTTTCTATTGATTAGGTTGACTACCTGATTCCAATCGACATACAGGGAAGTGAGCATAGGTGAACTGAACGATGAAAACTTTACAGTATAACACAGCATTTGTTTGTTTTCTTTGCCTAAATTGGCAAAGAAAAAGAGGGTAGTGACGGAAACACGGTATACACTTTATATTAATTTTATGAACACTACTTCGATATATATATATAATGAGAGGTGATTACTTTAAATGAAATAATAACCATGAAAATTAAAAACAGATCTTAAATACGTACTTTGTCATTTATTTTCCAAGCGTATTCACATCTCACAATCGACTTTTAAAATTATCGAGGGAACAATACTAACGAACATAATTCCTACGAGAGTAGATCACTCACATCTTATGGAAACTGAATTATTAAGAGTTATCGCATGGAATAATAGACGAAATAACGACTTTACAGATGAATGATGATAAAGTTTCATACACAGAAATAACTTATTTATCATTGGTTAACAACTAAATACATAAAGTTAAATAAGTAAAGAGGTTTCGTCTTCATAAATTTTTGAAAAAGGCCAATAACAACACAAATCAATCAACAGAAAACTTACTGTAGTATAAAACATTTTTGATTGTAAACTAAGACCTTCGGACCGTTCAACTAAATCATCAAGTTTTTCACCTCTAGACAATAGTGATTCTAATGTACTATGCTAAAAAATAATAGTAAAAAGAAGAGATAAGTCAGTGTAATTTGTTTTGTTTCTTTTGCAAAAGAAAACAAAAACAAACACTGGCGAAAAGGTTTACCGGTTGGAATAAAATCATTTTATATTCAATAATATGAAATTTCTTGTTCGTCCTTGCTTTGAATGTGAATTTAGTTGAGTGATGAAATTAATTGAATTTATGCAAGATTTCATTGAGGTCCATAACATTTTCAGAAATGATGATTTCCTTTTGAAAAGACGACCAGATAGGTGTTTAAAAAGATCAATAATTGTAATTAACATGTATAGGTACTATGAAAAATTGATGATATAGACTGACTGTTTAATTAATGAAATTATTTCATCACATTTAGACACACAAATAATTCACCATCAAGGTTACATTAATTTGTAGTATGGAATTTCATGCATACAACCTATTTTACTAATGACGACAGCACATAGTTTGTCAGAAAGTAAACTCAGACGCTACACACAGAATTCCCGTAGGTAAATTATTTTAACCGATAAACTTAATAAATTTTCGGTCGTTAATAATGTAGTCAATAGTTCAATTTATACATTTAATGGTTTTTTTAATGAAATCTTACTCCAACGTCACATTACTGAAATGATTTAGTATTATTGTTGGCTTAATTTACTTTAATAAAACTGGTGGTTTTATTGAAAGCACATAATTTATATAGGTTTGCACACGATTGATAGATCAGTTACACAACATAAAGGGGTAGAAACACTATGTGCTTATATAGAGAAAAAAATAAGATGAGAATATAAGGCGGGAGGGTAGTATCTATGTACAATCAACAATATCGAGAACTCATAGTTCATATACTTATCATATAATGAATTATAAAAGTGAACACACATTATTTCAGTAGCTGTGATGAACTATACGGCAATTAATTAACAGAGTATCACTGACTTATTAACGTCAAAAATAAAATAGGGATTGACAATATTGGACAGTCCATTAGTAGAGCATATATCAAAATTGTTAGCAACTGAACTCACCTTGCAAAAAAAACATGATGATATAAACCGATATCACCTAACATGGAGACTGAACATAATGCACAACTTTATAGACACATATCTTTCAGTTTCGAAGCTCACAGGATAACATATATGAGTTATTATTTTATGATAGATTACTATGACGAATTATGAGTAAGATTAACTGCCTTAATGAATTTGACTAAAAGTAATCGTTAAGATCCTTACTTAGGTAGTAAGAAATTTCCAAATAAAGTTCAAGAAATCTTTTTTCAGACTTATCATTATTATTTTACTTAAACACATAAACATTGATATAAAGGGACACCAAAATATAGACACGCTACACAAATTATTGAATTTGTAAGTGGGCTGGGATACTGCCCAGGTGTCCAAACCAAAACATGTGGTTTCCCTAAGGGGCCACTCCCCGAGCCTTAGACCAAGAAGTCTAATCCACAAAGTAGTGGGGCAGCGTTAGAAAGAGCAGTCCAAAGATAGTCGGTGAATAAAAATAAGTCCATACATCATTCTCTCCCCCAGGATTATGGAGCCTACGTGCACCAATGTTTTAGAATTAGGGTTTACCAACTCCCCTAGGTGAACAGTCCGTACGCACCAACCCGGTTAAAGCTCTCGACATTCACCTTCCGTCCTCGCGAATTCGTAAACAACACTTCCGTCACGAAAAGGCAGTGATTATGTACACGTGACTATATGAGAGCATTTCAAGAGGGACAGCGGATTCTCCTGAACCGTGACCATACCAAGACATTCAAACTAATCTTGATTACCTGATTTTCTAAAACACTGGGTTAAATAATTATAAAGGGCCTAGTTGAAAACATAATGATGGCAAATTTAATAAAAGTAAACATTTTACGGCTGAAAAACAGTTCTTCTAGTTCGAAGTATTTCAAAGGAGAAGAGGTGTTAACTGGAACATTATTACGCCTTGGTTCCTTCACTAATCTGAAGCTAGAAGTTGACATTGATAGTGTTGAAGATACGTTTCAGACTTTAAGAAGATCCATAGGATGCTGATAACTATATTATTAATAAAGCAATATGATTGATCGGTAAGTACTCATGAGGGCGAACTACTCACCAGCAATTGTTTCTTAGTAAAGCGACACAATACACAAAAAATACGGTTAAAATATGTTGAATTGTAAGATACAGGTTTCGTAAATTCCTTAAACACTAATGAAATCTAAGACGTGCTTATCATGTGTAACTTCTGACAGATATACAATCAACTCCACAAAATGATGTAGGATCCCATAGTGGAAACACACAAGTAATATGTTTCTATTCCTCCTACGAGACTAAAATCTTGTTAGTGACATGCAGGCTGAGACATTCTTTACTTACGTAAATAGATCTGCAACAATGTTTACACTCAAGTTGCATTTATTTGGTAGCCATAGCAAATGCCAGTGATTTCCATGAGTTTGTTTTATGCGTAGTTTATGAGGACTGGTTAGATAAATATGCTGTACACATGGCTGAAAAACCACAAATGGCAAAACAAAACCAAGTCATAGAATTTACTGGAAATTCTGATAGAGGCGCTTTGACTAAACATAGATTGTTAGACACTTCAATACTCATCATCAACTTTTTTCTACGCTTATTTGCTAGTATTGAACAATCGTATAAGCTTAATTTCCGCTTTTCAGGCATTCTTTTTTTAAAATTTCAATGAGAACTGTATGAAGACAGTACGAATGATGCTCAAATAATCAGTAATTGGGAAAATATTCTGACCATAGTTGCATCAACTGAAATGATGATTTCCACTAGACAGATTTTATCAACCGACCTTTATATCTGTTATCACTGTTGTAGAGAGAGCTGTATAATAAATTTGAAATCCCAATCGTGCGTGTATATTGTTTTCCTTTATCAATTACTCGCATTATTGAATTTAAGTGTATAATGTGTCAATTGAGTCAACTACTGCTTTGGTGAGTGGATAGTAACACTAGGCCTTAGACAAATAGTGTGGCCCAAAACCCAGCTTGTAAACACATGCTTTAAATATTCTGAGTCTGTATTTTAACACTACTGGCAGACTTCTAAAATTTTATCGAAAATAAGTCATAGTTTATTTATATTTATTAATATTTAGATAAATATTTATCCCGATTGCTAAGAAATAAACAGGAACAGAGAGGACCAGTATGAATAAATAATATGACTGATTAGATCATACGACAAAGCAGCATACAAATAAAAACGCTCGCAAAACAAGAATGTCAATTAATTCGTTCAATACTCTGTGAACAACAACAGCAACACTACTTAAAAGTATGAAAGTGACGAATCATATTTCATTTTCTTACACAAATGTCAAAAGTAAACAGAGAGATTGAAAATTGCAGACATATAAACTATATCAGAATAAATCAATGTGTTAATTGCGCGTAATCATGTTTCATAACTTGAGATCAAATTTTAGCATATCAATGAGAGCTGAATGTTAATTCATTGTTAATACTATGGTAATGCTAGTGAATCCAGTGAAGTTCATTGAATATGAACATTAAACTTGTGTTTATCATACAATATGTCAGGATAAGATTTAGATTTAACTCAATTAACAATTATTCTCATTCCTAAAAACGATGAGACTTTAACCTAACCGACAAAAACCGATTGGGTGTTAAGTAAAACGTCTAAGTAAAGAAATAGACAAATTATATTTTAGATATACCACTTGGTAAAGCCTATGTGAATAGAAAACGGCAAAAGTCAACCAACCATTTGTTTTATGGCTACGGCTTTCAGCTTGACAAGATAATGTTTCTAAGATGGTGAATGCTGCTGGTAAATAATTGTATATTGCCTGAACACAAAAGAAAAATAATATGCTGACAACCATCACCTATTACTTTCCCGAGAGAATTGTCATTGCTACCTATGTCACTTGAAATGAAATGCAAAGTAAAAAAGAACGACAAACTAAAAAGGAATCAGAATGGAACTCACTAAAATAACTTTAGTTTCATCTAATTCATTCTGAAGTCGCATTAAACCATCTGCTTCGGTAGGATTCTGATATTTCTGTAAATATTCATGGATCTTTTTACATGGATCAGATCTGTTTTTATTTTTAAAAATTAGAAAGGGAAACAAAAAGAAACATGCAAAAAAGTATCTCTTCCTTTTCTAAGAGGGGAGTAGATAAGATAATATGGAACTGGGGTGGTGTTACGGTTTCATTGGTCATTTGAAAAATTTCAAAACACCTATAAATTGAATGACTCATTCCCAATATAATCACGGAATCATATATAATGTTTTTAAAGGCTTTATCAGTGTTTAGGTTCAAATGGAAAGTAAAACAGACCACAAGCTAACCGTACAATTCATTAGTTTTTAGTTTATGAGTATGATTAACTGGGTTGTTGGTTTATACTTGACGGCAACTTTAAATGTCACTAGCACTGCATAGTATGTAATCTTTGTCACTGAAGGAATGATGAAAGTAGCTCATGTTATAGGAAATATACAAAGAATATGTACTTTTTAGCTGAAAACATCAACATTTTCTGCTAGATATTCCATAACTTTCAAAGTAATGAAAACACTATGAAAGGCGTTACAATCAGTGAGCCGTATTGTACAACCTGATACGTATGAACATTAGTTTATATTCCCGTACTCCATTAGTAAGGAGATGAAATTGTCAGGGAAGAGGTCTACTAGATATCATCGAATACTGAAAGCTCTCTTGGCTCAATCATTCAGCAAAAGAAAGCAACTAGTGATACTTACAATAATATGATAATATCTATTTTATTGATAGGTTATCGTATCTCTTTAAATTCATATAGCTAAAAGCTAACAGACAAAACTAGCTACTTACTATCATGTCTAAATGATAAGGTCAAATTACCGGAATTAGCCAGCCAAACACTAATTAACAATGTCTATATGTTCATTTGTATCCAGTCACAGATTACGAACTAAAGATTATTTTTTATCAATTTCGCGTCTTAGTGTAGGCTAACAAAGAATGCAAAAGTACTGTTCTGTCTAGTCTACATCAGGGAATGTAACGAACTATTACAAACCAAGTATATAGCCATTTCATATATCAAACCCACATTGCCTTTGCATAACTTTAGACATTTCATTACCTCTTCCGAAATCTTGAGCACAGTGTACTTCAAGTCATAATGAAAACAAATGTTTGTTGGATTTCAAATCCTTACACCAATAAGTTCACTTACGCTTTTCAAAAACATTTTCTTGTTTGTTATTTTATCACTAATTACATTTTACACTACCCACTCATTTTTTAATTCCTATCTTTCATTGAGTTTATTGTGAACTCTAGTCATATTACATTACTGATAAGTTATACTGTAAGTCACGATATTCGATATGAAATTTACAATTGTTACTATTTCTTCGCACATTAAGATAATACAAAGAGAATAAATGGGAACTTGATGTCTACAAAAAGCACTCGTTCGCATGGCTAACTTACCCGACAGTCATATTTGCCCAAGTGGATGCAGGACATTGGAGTGCGAAATCTTCAGTGGCCTAGAACAGAATTTAATGAGATAACAAAACAGTTCTATGAATTTATTTAACCACAGGTATATTTATTTTACTGAAACTAACACGTGAACATATCAAACTACGTTCGACTAGGAATATCAATGGGGTAAATGTTACCAAGTCTCATATTAAAGAAATCAAGTAGTACATTTAGTTAGAATTAAGAAAACTGCTGAACAAAGCGTTTAGACTAATATTAGAATACGTAGGACTGTTCAATACTCAGCCATAAACTACAGTAGCTACGTTGTTTCTAAGAATGCTTCCTAACATTCACTTTCCTCAGTGTATATTTACACGACCGTAGGGAATTTCATGGTGTCGGCACAATGATCCAGTTGATCTGTGCTAAACACTATGATGGAAAATCAAACAAGAAAATGAACAGCAATCTGAACTAGCACAAAAATGTAGTGATAAAATGTCATTCTTCATTTGACTACTTTATTGTATTTTGTGTTTTAGTTTAGATGTCAATAATATATGATAGTTCTGAATTCAGACTGAAGTGAAATAAAAAAACTAGTGCGAATGTTGTACTGAAAACAAAGTCTTGAAAGTGATTCAATGATAACAAGAAAGTGGTAAATTATGCAGCTCACTTTGGTTAATAACGTCTGAGCAACCCTTGGAGGATATTCTTGGTCACAAATTAGTACACCACATAGATTATCATGACGAACATAAACATGACAAATATAATCTACCCAAAGGTAAGCTAAATATTATACATGAAATAAACCTTGTTGTTTAATTTGTACACGCTGGCAACGAGCTGTTCGTTCACAGACCACTTTAGCAGTAAAGTCCATAAATTCTCGAACACTGGATCGCTGAAAATAACCGAAGTCCGATAGTTCATGTGAAGCTTGTAATAATTTAGCTGATGTGTCAGTTTTATAAAGTATCTGTAATGAGAATAGCTTCATTGTCGTCTAAAGATTCCTCTGGACAGAAAACACTATAGAGGAAATGGGCATTAAAAAAATAATAAAAAGTAATAATAGTACATTGAATTTGATACGTAGATGAAAGACTAACATTTCAGAGAAAAAAGGGTTATAATAGATATAAACAAAACGTTATTTAAAGGAATGGATCGGGATTTATAGAAACAACAAATGTCATAGACTAGAAACTAATTGCGCATTAAAACTTGGCGAATCAAGGTGGATTGTGGTGGCTGGGATAGGCAATACGTGGGACAAACCTTAGTCTACATTAACGTGTGCAATTGATTAGTGCAGGAGTAAGTTGGAAACAAGTTGGCGGCGGTCAAACTGAGAAGAGGGTTAAGGTCACAAAGTCGCTGACTATATGCAAAAGTCATCTTGATATATAATTTTTAGTTGGTATTTACTTGAAAACCAAGAATAATGATTAAAGAAATTGAAAAACGGTTCGGAACCCGTCAGAAATGATGTTTACTGAATACCATTTCTGAAATAATTACTTAGATTTCTTTTGAAAGATGAGTTATTAATCAATGCAGTTGGTGTACATCGTCGAACAAAGCGAAATGACTTTTATCGACTAGTATTTAGCCAATTGCAGTTTACAACACAATGATACCATAGGTAACACAATCCACACAGTTCACAAATTTTCCAGGATGCTAACAACAAACCCAGAAGGAATGCTTTACATAAGCTCAACTGAAAAGTCGGGAATAAACTTCCCAACAGTCTGATCACTGATAATGTATAGAAACTATGCATGTACGTAGTTGTAATGTATATCAATTACAAATAGTTACAAGATTTCTTAGAAAGGGTGAATAAGGCAAATGTTGCCGATAAGCCCTACAAAAAAAAGGCCAGCGAGTTATTTTGCGCTATAAAAATTTGTTCGTTTACATGCTGTGAATAGCACGAAATATACTGAACCTGACCTTCACAGCTCGACAAAGAAAACGTAAAAACTGAAAAGCGAGCTTATGTTTCCGTGTCAATATTGAATAAAAGATCGAGGTTATGAGTATGTCAAACACGCTAAAAATGCATATGTAATTGTTTAAAGGGTCATCCATAATCGCTTTCAGTAATATGTGGAGTAGTGGACTGGTCAAATAGGTCATTCACTTCTCAGCATATTCAAATGGTTCAAATGGTCGTGGACGGAGTAGAAGAAACTTTCGCTTAACAGGCTTCCGTGTTTAGTAGCAGGGGATCACCAAATCCTCCAGGCAGGAACCTAGGTATGTTAACAATAAAAGAGGAAAAGAAATTGGTAAATCATAGTGCGATGCTGTCCTTGGTCCTTAAGAATAGGTCAAGTTGCCTCTTGAAGGACTCCTGAGAAGTCGCTTGGACTAGCTCGGCCGGCAGCGAATTCCAGCTTTTGACAACTCTTAAGGAGTACAAGTTGTGTCTACATTCCGTCTTGCTATGTTGTGTTTCCAGTTTCTGGGTGTTGCCCCTTAGGTTATTATTCGAACTAAGCTTAAGTAGGTGTTTAAGAGGATGTCCAGAAGTGTTAAGAATACTATAAGCCATTAATAAATCACCTCTAAGACGCCTATATTCTAGTGGGTAAAGGTCTAGTGAACGGAGGCGTTCTTCGTAAGGCTTGGATTTGAGTCCTCGAACTGATTTCGTGGCTCGCCGTTGGATACGCTCCAAAGTGACCTTATCCTTTTGGAGTGAGGGGGGAGTACTATGTTTCCGTACTCTAAATGGGGACAGATGAAACTATTGAAGATTGTGTGAAAAGTTCTTCCGTCAAACTGGCCAAAAATGCGCCTCAACGTTACCAGTGCAAGGTTTGCTCGGAAGGCATTTTTGTCACAGTTAGCGTAAGACTTTAAGTCATGGGGCACCAGGACTCCTAAATCTTTTTCGACTTGGGATACTACTAGAGAGGAGTTTCCTAAGTTGTAACTGTAGTTTGCGACATGTCGCAGATGGACTACTTTACACTTAGAAGTGTTAAAGGTAAGTCCGTTATCATCTGTCCAACTTTGAAGTCGAGTCAGATCCTCCTGAAGTGCCTGTGTATCGTCTTGGTTGCGTATCTCTCTCCAAAGTTTCACGTCGTCGGCAAAAAGTAATAAGTCTGACGTTACCTGTTGAGGAAGATCATTTATGTAGATCAAGAAGAGAAGCGGCCCTAGTACTGAGCCCTGGGGGACCCCACTAGGACATTCCATAGCCTGAGATAAAATGAAATTAACCCTGACCTTAAAATGTCGATTTTTCAGGTATGAAGTGAGCCAATTGATTAGAGGTGGTCTGGTACTCAATCGTTTGAGCTTATTGATAAGACATGTATGATTAACCTTATCAAAAGCTTTTGAGAAATCTAGGTAGGTGATATCAACCTTCTCCTTGTGATCAAGGATACTTGTCCATCTGTCCACCGCAGTCAGCAGGTTGGTAATACAAGAGTAACCCTTCCTGAAACCATTCTGTTGGGGTGAGAAGAAATTTAAGGACAGTAAATAGTCATTTATACCATCTCATATCAAGGACTCCATGATTTTTGAGGGTATGGAGAGAAGAGCCACTGGTCGGTAACTTGAAGGTTCGCTGCGTCGACCTCCTTTGAAAATTGGTGTGATGTGAGCCAACTTCCAATTTTCCGGTGGTTTTCCTCGACTTAGCGAGTGTGAGAACATCACGCTAAGCGGCGTTGCCAGGATTGGGGCTGCTTCCCTCAATATGGCGGAATGGACCATGTCCGGGCCAGGAGAAGTGTCAAGTCTTAAGTGCTGCAGTTTCCGGAACACCAAGTCAGCGCTTAGGTCCACTTCAGAAAGTCCTGTGGAATTGCAGATGAAACTGTCATGAGTAAAGTTGATATCAGCCGGTTGAAATGTTTGAGAGTAATGGGCCGCCAGAAGGTTAGCGGCGTCGCCATCGTTGTTGGTCGGGCCGTTAAGACCTACCAGTTGGGAAACTCCAGCCTTGGCTTGACGAAGAGAGGCTGCATAACGGAATAGGCTTCTAGGGTTAGAGGCGAATTTGTCCATAAGCTTTGTTTGGTACTGAAGCCTGTCTTCTCTTATAGCCTTCGTGCATGTGTTCCTGATATGTTTGTATTGCCTATACGCTCCATCGTTATTAGTTCGTTTGTATTCCGCCCAACAGTGCCGTTTGCGGCTTAGGAGGCGAAGGGTACGGTTCTTGATTACTGTAGGTGGCTTGAAGCTTTTGGGAACCGTTTGAGGAACTGAATGGTCTGTAGCACATAAGAGCGTGTGCAGCAAGAAGTCCCAATGACCATCCACATCGATTTGAGGGTGAACATCCCAAACCACCTGTTGTAGATGGTCATGTAGAGCTCGCACATTCAGCCGTTTAAAATTCCATCGCAAATTATTGTTGGGATACCTTAGCTTAGTTTTGATGACAAAACTGAAGGCTATGACGGCATGATCGCTTTTTCCCAGGGAAGCCAGGATTGAGAGGTTGTCAACTAGAAATTCTTCGTTTGTGAACCCACAGTCTAAGCGTGATGGTGTCTGACTGTTTCTCCAACGAGTTGCCGACCTCACATTTTCATATAAGCCCAAGTTATCGATGAGGTTGAAGAACCGAGCTTCAGTTGAGTTGTCGCCTCCAGTATACGTGTGTTCCGCGAAGTCGACTCTAGGGAGATTAAAGTCCCCTAGAATCAGGATGTGTGTGAAACCGAGACGAGTAGACCGAGGTAGTCCTTACAGCATACGACTATCGTACTCGATGTCGGCAGTTGGCTTCCTGTAAATGACTCCTACTGGACACCTTGAAGTAGCAGGCAATCTTACAGAGCATCATATGGGTTCCTCAAGATTGTTAAACTCGAGGTTATGAACTTGGTGTACCTCCAAGCAAGATTGTATGTAGATGGCTACTCCACCGCCAATCCCTGACTTTATGTCGTTGCGAAACAAAGACATCCCAGGTACTGCTAACTCCTGGTCCGAGAACTGATAAGATATCCAAGTTTCATTTATTCCTGTCAGATGAGCCCAGTTAGTATTGCTAAGTTCACGTAGCTCATCCATTTTGTTTGGTAGACTCGCGGCGTTCATATATAAGCAGTTTATACTTTCAATTCGAAACGCGTGAGCTTCTTCCTGTTTGTCTGTATGAGCCTCACGTGAATGGACAGGTAGCCTACTTATATAATGTTTTCCGAGTTGATAGGTCCTGTACTTTACACGTTTTTTTATCACCTAGACAGTTCGCAAGTGGAATGATCAGCTCCAACTTGCTTTTGTGCTCGGTCCTAGCTTCATATGGCTTATCCGGGTGCATATGGATTCCAGCTGGCAACCGACGTCTATTGGCACGAAAGGCCTCCAGAGTTGAAGCCGCTATGTGGGAAGATGGGAAAGTCATCTTCATTAGCCGGGGTATGGAATCGCCGTCCTTCTTAGCTAAATTTCAAAGTAGTAATTTACGAGTGATATGTAAAATGGTTTCCACTGATATCACAAAATAAAAATACGTATCGACTCTCCATTTGAAGAATTCAGCACAATCCAAAAACATGTGATTCACCAAGGTTAGTGATCTGTGTCAGCAAGTGCAGTCAACACGAATTGAAGTAACACTTCGCGGTTAAAACCCTATCGTGATATCCACATACTTTGATGACTATATGAAAGAACTATATAGCAGGATAAACTGGAAAAACAGAATATGGTAACTGTCATACAAACCAGTTCATGAGAAATCTACGTTACTGGGCACTGACGAGATAAAATCTCAATGTCGTGAAGCCCGAAATATTTGTGCCTCGACTGTGATGAATAGAAGTATTTGGATTATTGGAAAAACTAAGGATCCCAGAAATAATGCAATTTAACCAAGAAGTATTATATGAGCACGAACGAATGTTTTGTAGTTGGAACAACAAAATGAAAAATCTGATAAGTTGATTGGCCAGAAGCTTTTGTCTCACAATAATTCTGAGTTTCATTTAATTTTGGACTGCCATATGA